AGGGTCAACTCTCAGTACTTTACAACATGAGACTGAGGGGAACGGGTGGGAAATATTACAGTTTAAAAAAAAAGTAAATTGTCTGCACATAATATGACTGTGTGAAAAACCCAAGAGAGCCAGCTGGCAGACTGTCAGGATCTGAGAGAATGAATGTAGTGGGCACAAGGTGTGGGGCCCATGGATTTGTTTCAGAAGCTCTGCTTCTACTTCCCGTAGCATCTTTTGTTTAGATTTCTAAAAACCCCCAAAGGAGAGGTATCAAAATGCATGTAATTGTATAGTTAAGGAACTTTTACCTAATCTTTCAGTGAGAAATTATTAGTCTACAGTTATATTTCCAGTATAACAACGTGCTTTTTAAAAAGGCAGGTCCTATGAGTTAATAATTGTATGCCTTCCAGGTAGTGAAAATTCTCAATTTAAAAATATTTTCTTTCTTTCTTCTTCTTCCTTCTTTCCTTCTTCTTTTTTTTTTTTGATAACCCACTAAGTTCAATTAATGTTACTCATATGTACATGGAAGACATTGTAACTGTTACAGCTCTGAGAGGAAAAGCATCCTTGCAGTCAGAGGCCAAGGAATACCACAGAGTCAAACGACACACACAACAAACCACACACAAGAGATTTTCTGGGAGAGCCCATAGAGTGGCTGCCTCTGAGAAGCAGCAGGCAGCTGAACAGAGGCAGGCTTTATATAGGGTTTCTGCTGGTGAGGAGCTTCCCAGGGAGGCATAGGATTGGTGGAGTTATTATGACCTGATCAGGGATTGGTGGAGTTTTTTGTTTGTTTGTTTGTTTGTTTGTTTGTTTTGAGCTCAGGGATTGGTAGGTTTGTTTGTTTGTTCGTTCATTTTTTGGCTTTTTGAGCTCAAGGATTGGTGTGATTTTTGAGCTAGGGATTGGTGGGTTTTTGAGCTCAGGGATTGGTGGGTTTTGGTAGGTTTTCAATCCCACATGTGGGCTCAGACCTCTTGCCCTATATGCCCCTCTTTTTTGTTTATTAGTAATCAACAGCCAGAGGTTGGGAAAGCATTATCATTAGCCTTTTTCCTGCTGACTGGGGCCATCGAAGTCCTTGGATCTAACTTGACCTTTAACATCAGAATATGATTAGGAGGTGCAGGCCTCTGGCTCTGTAGCTGGGGGCTACTAATCCTGTCATAGCAACTGATTAAAATTCTGCTTAGAAATCTCTAGGTCTGTTGTTTAAGAAATCTAGACTAGAAGTTTATAAGGCAGAGTGTGGCTAATAGGATTAAGGAAAGGGGAGGGGCAAGCTAAGACAGCTAGCATCCAGTTTCATATTGGACTGTCAGTGATTCATGGGCCAGAAGCATCAAGCTGTTTCCTACATTTATTTTGGAGATCTTCCTGGAGTTGTCCGATCTTGTTTTTGACTATACCAGATTGTGTAACACAGAAGCAATGTTCCTCCCTGAGGAAGAGATGAAGATGACCTCTCTCTGCTGTTAGTAAATCTAATCCTTGCTGATTTTGTAACACTAGGGCAGCCAGTGAGTCTGTTTGGCTCCGGAGAGTAAGGATGGTCTGGGTCACTCACTGGATGACCTCAGAAGAAAACCTATAGTAAATAGCTAGAAATGTAGTTAGTCCCACCCACTGCTCAGGTGGTCATACCCAGGACTGTGAGAAAGGATAGGACCTAAACCACTCATTTGTCTTGCCAATCTGCTATAAGCCCTGTGATAGGAACTGGCAAGGGTTCTTCACTGGGTACCACCCCTAGGTTTTGAAAAAGGGACAGCATAGCATAAGACAACCCAGCAGGTAGGCAGTTGTAAACTTGAGTGCTGCAAAGATCAAGGCATTGTGAACATTCAGACATAAAAGGCAGGGTTAGAGAGAGTCTAGTAGTCCAAAGGGTGAGGCTACAGATGGTCTGACCTGGGAGGGACACACAACCAGTATTCCAAAGCAGCCAGGAACCGTATTGTTAGGTAGCTGGTGTGTGGAGGTTAAAGTCTGAAATGAGAGATAGAATGACCATGGGGCAGAGAGGATGGATGAGTATCATCTAGGATGGATAATGTTAGGGAAGTAAGGATCTTTGAGGAGTGTTAAAGCACGTCTTTTATCCTGTTTACACCCAGGAGTTAAGAGAGTGGGGTGTATCCTCTGTGTTTTGATTGGGCTTGATGGACAACTATGACAAATGCTTTCCTGTGACTCCCATCTGAGGTATCATGTTCAGACTTCATAGCCAGAAGGAGCTTTGTCAGGGAATAGGAAGGACAGAAAGATTGTTTGGAGTGGAGGTAAGAGATAGCTTGGACCTAGAGAATCTCCTTCCATTTCCCCTATGGCTGCAGCATTTGTGAAAGTCTCAAATAATATTGGGATCTAGGTGCCATTAGGTGGCCATTTGGATCAGTTATCTAAGGGTCTTGAGGCCAATTTTGAATGCAAAGGTGAACAAGTGTAGAGCCCTTCAGGTTGGGTGCCAGGTGTAGAGGCTAGGTTTTCTAAAAGATATCCTTCGGGGGAGTGAGAGGGTGTGGGGAAAAAAACTGTCACTGCAACCTGTAGAGTCAAGAAATTGGGAAGGATCTTTCTTTCCTTTCCTTTCTTTCTTTCTTTCTTTCTTTCTTTCTTTCTTTCTTTCTTTCTTTCTTTCTTTCTTTTTTTTTGTTTTTTTTTTTTTTTTGAGACAGGGTTTCTCTGTGTAGCCCTGGCTCTCCTGGAACTCACTCTGTAGACCAGGCTAGCCTCCAACTCTTGAACTCAGAAATCTGCCTGCCTCTGCCTCCCAAGTGCTGGGATTAAAGGCATGTGCCACCACTGCCTGGCGGGAAGGATATTTCTGAAGCTGGAATGGGCAGATGTTGGTGGATATGTTCATAGTCTACTGTATATATGTATAGATTCTCAAGAATAGAGGAAAATGTTGTTTAAAAAAAATACTCTTGGGGTTGGGGAGATGACTCAGAGGTTAAAAGCACTGGATACACTTATAGATATCCTAGATTGGATTTCCAGAGCCCACATGGCAGCTCACAACCATCTGTAACTCTAGTTTCAGGAGATTTGATGCCCTCTTCTGGCCTCAGAAGGCACCAGGCATGCATTTGATGCGGTGATTTACATGAAGGAAAATCACCCATGTGCATATACAAACATTTTAAAAATGAGTTGCTTATGAGTGTTGTCAGTGAGCACCTCTCAGTCTGTATGTCCATTGTCAAAGATGGAACATATAAGGTCTCATTGTGGATCATAACTAACATAGACGTTTGCACTTGATTTTGATGTTGAGAGAGCCGTGAACCATAAGAGAAATATTCTCTCTATACCAAAGAATTCCATAGTAGACTGTATTACCAGAGACAAGAGTGAGCAAGTGAGTGTTATATGGGATGACTTTTCCTGGGAGATGCCTCTCTCTCTCTCTCTTTCTCTCTCTCTCTCTCACACACACACACACACACACTTACACACACTTACTTCTACTCACCCTAGATCCCAGATAGGTAGCCCGTGATAGACCAAAACACAGACACTGACAAAGTCCAAATTGTTGAACCAGTGAGTTTTATTGTGGTTACTTACAGGAATATGGGCAAGGGGTTACTTACAGGAACAGAAATGACTCAAAGACAGGTCCTGATAATTTTATTCTTATGTCCAATTTTCTTGATGTGTGGCATGTGTATGCAAAAGGACCAGTGTCTGTACAAGACATCCTAAGACCAAATTCCCAGCATAAAGAGATCTATCTGCTTCAGAGGGACAGAGGACAGGGACAAAGGAACTTCTAGAAGCTAGAAGAGGAAGAAGAAAAAAAAGGGGCAAGAGAGAGGAGGAGGGGACAGAGGGCCGCCTTTGGATAGAGAAGGAGACAGACAGACATGTCCCATAGGCAAATGGCAGTTCACAAAGGTACAAGGGAAAACCTCATGTATTTAATTTTAATTGGGCATGTTAATTAGTAGAGCCAAAGGGGGCTTCTGATTGCTGGCCTTCAATACTTTGATGAGTAGACCTTGGTAGTCAGTCTCAGAAGGAGGAAGTGGCCAAATGAGGGAAGGGATCTTGGGGGTAGCTTTAGAATGTAACCTAACAGATTTTAGCAAGGCAGAGGGAATGAGGGAAGAGCCATGGTCACCATGTTCGGGTCTGGTGGAGCCCTTCCTTAGGTATGTGTTCATGTGGGCGTGCAGTGGAGATGGATGTGAGCCTGGAGGCCAAACCTTGGTGTCAGCTGTTTTTCTCACATGCTGGCCACTTTATTTTGAGGCGAGATATCTTCCTGAATCGAGGTGTCCATGACTGAGGACCAACAAGCTCCAATTTACCTCCGAAGTGCTGTGGCTGCAGGCATGTTCCAGTGCACCTGCCTTTGTCCTTTTTACTTCAGTGTTGGGATCCAAGCTGAGGTCTTTATGCTTGTATGGCAACCACCTCACTGACAGAGCTGTCTCACAGCCCCCTCTATTCATTTTTAAAGTGTGGATTCTTAGTGTGCTTTCCATGAAATGTATTTAAGGTGTCCCTTTAAAAATATCTAATTATGCAGCATGGCTTTCTCTGGTACAAAACAATTGAGTCTAGAAGTGGTTTCCATTTTAAAAGCCCTCTTTCTCTTTGTAAGTTGAGTATCTTCCACCTCTAATTTAAAAATCCAAAGTCTGAAATACCCTCAAACCTGAAGCTTAGTTTCGAAAGCTTTTTAGATTTGGATTATAGGGTTAAGGAAGTACTTGATTTATTAATGGACATTGTGCTAGGGTGCTTAAAGGAACAGTCTATGTTAGTTAGTTTTTCTTGATGCATTCTGAGGTCTAATTAAATTTGTTTGTTTTCCTGAAAGAAACTCTGTAACTTATACCCACCCATTTAACAGTGAACTGTACATATGCACACTGGAAAGAGTTGCTTTAGATTTGTCTGTGTGCTTATTTTCTGACTTAATGTTTTTAACCGCTGGAAACAATGTATTTTAAAATGTAGTCATTTGTATTTCTCCTGTCTACCAGCCCCAGATGACAGCTCATTATTGCTGCTGAGAGCTGAGTTATATTTAACCATGAAGAACTATGAGCAAGCCCTGCAGGATGCTGATACAGTTTGTCAGAGGGAACCTCTCCTGACCAAGGTGATTGATGCCTGTCAGTTGGATTTGGTAATGATCTGGTGATTAAGGTTGTGGGGTGTGTGTGTGTGTTCATGCATGCGAGTGCATGTGTATGTGAATGAATGTGTGAGTATGTGTGTACATGTGGGATTGTGGGTGTGTGAGTGTGTATGCACTGTATGTGCATGTGTGAGTATGCATGTGTGTGTGTTTGTGTGTGTGTGTTTGTGCATTCATGTGAGTGCACGTGTGTGTGAATGAGTGTGTGAGTATGTGTGTACATGTGGGATTGTGGGTGGGTGAGTGTGTGTGCATGTGTAAGTATACATGTATGTGTGTGTGTGTGGCTATGCATACATGTGAGTACATGTGTGTGTGTTTGAATAAGTATGAATGCATGTGTGTTTGTGTGTGAGTGTGTGTGTACTATGTGCATGTGTGAGTATGAGTGTATGTCTGTGTGTGTGTATACATAGTATATGTATGTACACCTGTATAGGTACAGATAGAGACCAGAGACATTGAGATGTCTGCCTCATTGCTTCTCCATCTTGTATTTTGATTCAGAGTCTCTCACAGAGCCTCAAGGTCACTCATTAGATAGACTGGCTGGTCAGCAACCCCCTGGGGTCTTCCTTTCCCCGCCTCCCAAGATGCCACTATCCCAGCTGTTTTTGCATGGATAGTAGGATCAGAACTCAAGCCCTAGGTTATGGTATTCTATTCATAAGTTATCATGATTGTGATGAAGCACCTGAAGATAGTGCATATCTTCTCTAGTTTATAGTAGTCTGAATTTAGCAATTATTTCATACTAAATCTAATTTACTGGACCAAGTTTATTCCTGGATTCAGATAATGCTTAAATAGCAATGTGCTTTAACTCTTGCTATTTTTTGCTGATGTGCTTTACTCTATATACTATTTAGCTCAATGGTATGCAGTCAGTACAGTCTCAAAATCTTTGTTCAAAATGCCTGAGAGCAGATGAATTTGGGAATTTTGAATACTTTCATATTTTGAGGATAGTTTCATATATAATGATGTAACTCAAGGAGAAGACAATTATAAGCATGTACTTTATGCTTTATATACAGCTTGCAAAAGTAATTAAAACCTTCATACAGCTTCATACAGTATTTTTAAATTTTTGTGCATGAAACAAAGCTTTATGTCTTGGGACTTTCTGCTGGTGACATCAAGCCAGTGCTGAAGACGCCTTGCGTTTGGGGACATTTCCAGTTTCACAGTTTGGGGTTAGAAATGTCTATCCTGTATAAATCAGTTCAAAAGTTACATGAAATTAAATCCAAAGAACTGAAAAAAAATATGATACCTTTTGAATAACAGCAAACCCAACAGGGAAACTGACCTCAAAATGACAGTTGAAAGTTATGAGTTGGTGAAGAAGAGAACAGCGCATTGTACACAGAAGGTGAAATACAGGATAGTTACAGAGAAAGTGAGAACCCAATCTAAGTAACAGAAAAGAAAGAAAAATGAATCAGTTCTGTGGGATTATAAAGTGGTATAATGAATGTTCAGTTGGAACCCTGGCAGGAGAAGGGAGAAATAGAGAAAGGGAAAATTGGAAATATATTGGCTTTCAAATTTAGTGAGAAACATTCATTTCAGTTTCACAAGATGAACAAGAAACCACTCAAAATAAACTCAAATCACAGTTAGTCTGCTGTTTAAGCCAGAATTGTTAAGAGTCTTGAATGTAGCAAGAAGCATGGCCTATGGGGAAACAGCAAGACGGATGGTTGACATCTCATGAGGAATCATGGAAGCTAATCAACACGGGAACGGCGTATTCAAAGTGGGAAGGGAATATATTAGTGTGCCTGCAAAGCAACACCAGTGAAATGGAATCTACTAGAAATTCACACTAAATGTGAAGACATGGGAAGATTTAAATGGCTGTATGAATGTAATTTGAAAACACAAAGTATGCAAAAATTAAATGGCCATATGATCTCATAGCTTATCAGAAGACACTAAAGGAATATTTGAGACACACTGGGAAACTTCATCTCAACCTAATTGACACTTGTAGAAAAAATGCATTTAGCTATATAGCATACATATCCTTTAATGCCTGTTGGATCCAGTGTGCACAGAACATATCAAGATTCAAAATATTGAATTCTTCAATGATGGTTCTCTTCAAACAGCTAAAATTAGAAGTTAACAGGAGCAACAAAAACTAGGAAATCTTTGTGTTTCTTAAACAATCCTTTGTAAAGAGAAGAAATCAAAAGAGAACTATCCAACATTTAAATTAATGATAATTAATTAAATTAATGATAAAATACATTATACACTTAGCTTTTTAGATGTAGTTAAAGCCATTCTTAGAGGAAAATTTATGTTATTATCATCTTCTGTTGAAGGAGAAAGGTCACAAATCTAGTCTCTTATGAAACTATATTAAAAAGAGCAAATTAAAACGAAGGAAGGTATGGGTTTGGAGTGTCTTGATGGGTAAGAATGCATGCTGCTCTTCCAGGAGTCTTGAATTTGACCACAATGGATGGTTCACAACTACCTTCAATTCTAGCTCCAGGGCATCCAACATCCTTCTCCAGTATCTTCAGAAACCTGCACACATATGGCATATGAACATAGTCACATGCAGACACATAAACAGAAATAAATCTTATTAAACCAAGATGAACAAAAGAAAGGAAATAAATGCAAGATTGACAGTCAATAAATAGAACCAGAAAACACACATTTATAAAAACAAGGATTTGGTGAGTTAGTCTTTGTCAAACTTTTGAAACTCCTTATCTTCAAAAGATATTGACATAGAGAAGAAAGGGTAAACACACATTAGGGACATATAATACTGTAGGATAAAGAGGAATTCTGCTCAGCTTATAAGAGCTGATCCTACCAATTCAGTAATAATTCACACAACTGGTTAAATGATTAAGGGATTTGAACAGGTATTTTACTGAAAAAGATACAAGAATATCAAATAAATGCCAGAAAGATGTACCACTCTTAGGCCCACCACCTTCTGGCCTCTGAGCACCTACATCTGTAGCACACACACATATACACATCTAAAAATTGGTAAACGTTAGGATATATAAATCATAACTGTTTTACTTATTATAGTTTATATTTGACATAAATATAAACTGATACCTTGTTCAAGATTACTTTAGCTATTCAAGAGTTTTTATAAATTATGTGAATTCCATAAATATCATAAACAATAAGATTAAGTTGACAGATTCCTTTTTTCCTTCTTAGCATATCCTTTAGAACATCTTTGTGCACAAATATCAGTTACAGGCATCCCTGCATTCTGGTTTCAGATGTATTTATTAAATAGTGAAGCTTGCCAGTTATCAAGACAGGAAGATACAGGATATACACATCTACCTAATCAAGTTGCTGTAACACATTTTCCAGGGCTGTTGTAACCAGATGCATATAACCTTGCAGTGTTTTAAAATCTATTCTTTGTCTTTGGGTAAATCCAGGGGCACCATATAAAAGCCCAGATTCTTTCTGGATTGGGAAGAAGTAAAGAAGTGTTAAAGGAATTTATCTACTGCCTTGCTTTAAATCCTGAGTGCAACTCGGCGAGGAAAGAAACACAGAAGGTATGCGTTCTGATAAGCAACTTCCTCCTTTGGGTAACACATGTGATATGTGGCTTTGTGTCATGCTGGGAGCCTTTGCCCATAAGAGCAGCAAATGTGATTTCAAATGCCCATGACAGTGTAATGAACAGCACAGTGATAATACACACTGCATTTGATAATTTCTAATTGAGTGTGCAGCACAGTGTCTGATGAGACAGTGCACACACACCCCAGTTGTGATAAGAGACTGGGGTGTAAGGTCACCTTGAAACACAAGGCTGTAGAGACAGAGCTAGGAATTGTGAAGGACCCGGTAAGAGGCACTGTGACACATGTACAGTTCACTCCACAGACTCACCTGTGACGAGCAGCAAAGCTTTATCATCGTGGTGCACACATGTACCATTGCATCGTGCTTAATGTAGGACTCCACTCTTGCCAAGTGCCTGGACAGTACTCATGGCCTTTACATAGACTTTCCCGTGACTAGGGGGCTTTTGTTTACCTTTCTCAGTGTTTCCTGTGTTAATGGTTTTACTTAAGCAGCTACCAATACGTCTACGTTATAATTTCTACTGACTAGTACATTTTATTTTGTGGCACTTTAGAACGCAAGTCAGTTTTCCCCTCTACATTTGTGAGAAGCCACTTTAGAGTCTTAAGAAAAGCTTTCTTTCTTTGGAATGTTTTCTCACAGAAGAGGGTTTCTGTGCTCTCCTCCCTGTGAGGTATCTTGTTTACCCTGCAGCTTCATCATCTACACACAATGAAGTTTTCCATCCCATGTTCACGTTGGGAAATTTGCTTGCATCTTACCCATAAGATCACACCATCTAATCCTGTTAGAAATGTAGTTAGATGAAACAAATAGGCATGATTTGTCTAAAGCAGAACTTCCTGAGAAGACACCTTTCCTTCTTGTGCTGTTGGTTGGCATCTGCTGCTCACTACTCATCTGCTGCCTACTGCTCGGCCCTGCAGTCAGGTTTCTGGCCTCTGGGGCAACTTGTGTTAGTAATATCGAGTCATGGCTGAGTTCCTCCATCATACTGGCCATACCCACAGAGCTCCTCCTCTGAATGTGTGTCTCCTCTCAGCTGACCCTCACCTCACTGTTGTAAAAGTCAGAGCAAGCTCAAATGAAACATGGGTGCTCAGGTCCCAGGGTTTTGTAGATTCTTGCCTGCCTGGTATATTGATTGTATACTTTCTAATTCTGTTAGTGTGTTGAAAACTGGCATGTCTGTTATGGGGGTCTATCAACCAGCTTTTGTTTTATTGCTCTGAGTATTACAGGACCTTGGTATTCTGAAAAAAGCTTGCAAGTACTGCAAGAAGTGAGTCAGGCTTTAAGCAGAAGCTAGAGGGTAGTGGGCTTGATTATTGCTGGTATAACAGCTTTAATTACATTAATTGCTAGCATCACTGCTTCTCCAATTGCTTTGACACAAGATGGTAAGACAGCTACTTTTGTTAATCATTTAGCAAAATAATGTTACTAATGTGTTGAGTATACAAGAGGATTAGGTAGGTGTTTAGAATAACAGATTGATGCTCTTTATCCTATTCAAATTATTAGAAGAAGGTTCAGAGTTTAAGAGTAAGGAGCTATCTCAAGTATCATGCCAAATACCAATGGATTTGTATTACTTCTAAAATTTACAATAATAGTCATTATAATTAGGAAAAAAGTTTAAAGACACTCACAGGGTATTTGGCATAATTCTAACACCTCTCTGGTTGTTTTAACTTTGCATAGTGAGCTTATGAATTTAAAGAATGCTCCTCTGCTGAGCTTTGATGCTGCAGATAATGCCGATAAAATTATCCATAGCCTGAGGTCAGTATTTCCATTTAGGTCAAGCTTCAAGAATGGCATATATAGCTTGATCATGCTAGCCCTTTTTGTCCTGGGAATACTTTTATTCCTGCCCATCGTGTTAAAGCTTGTCTTTAACAGCATCAACATGTCGGCAGCCAAAGTACATGTCTTGAAACTGAAAATGCCTGCCCCCAGAGAGAGTTATTAACTTAACAGGCTGGCAAGTCAAGGATGGGTAAGATTCTGCACAGAGCCTTACCAACTGAAGACAGAAGTACATTGCTCTTGATAATGCATATTCCATGACGAGTAAGGAAGGCACTCTTGTCAGAATGACATAGGACAGGCTCAGTCTTGTTTTTGAAATAAAAAAGGGGGAGATGTGGAGAGCTTTTGGGGCTTCTTGGCAGGAATCTGACGTTAGGCTAGAACAAAGAAATAATTTTAGGCAGGAATCTAAATATTAGGCTAGAACAAAGAAGTAATTTCAGATAGGATTATAAATTTTAGGCTAGAGCAAGGAAGTAGGCTTCAGACATGAAAATGACTTTGGGCTAGGACAGGGAAGTAGGCTCAGATATTTTGGTCATCCTGATAAGCCCTTAGAAACAGTGATCACAGGAGTGATCATGGGACTTTATTTATTGCCTTGCTTGTTCTTTGACTATTTGTGTTTACTGTCTTGCTTGTTCCTTGACTATTTGCATCTATTGTATTGCTAGTTCCTAGAACTGACCTAAATACTTGCATATAACTAAAATGGTATAAAAGCAAATTGGGAAAAAAAAAGAATGTATAATCCTAAATAAATAAATAAATAAATAAATGTTTATATTGATTCCCCACCCCCCAAAAAAGATGTGATGTTTCTCCCTGCCAGCATCCTCTGGCTGATGGACATGTATTATGACAGAATTAACATTAGTCCACTGATATGCCTGAAATGCAGTCCTGCCCCCCACAGCTCTGATGAAGCCATAGCAGAGCCACATGGTGACTCTGACATCCTCGATGAGGCTGCATTTCCTGCAATTACAAAGACTATTTACCACTATGCTCAAAATGCAGCATAAAGGGGGGAGAGAGAGAGAGAGAGAGAGAGAAGTTTAAAAAACAAAGCTTGTCTATGTTTTTGCCAGTGTCAAGCTCTTCTCTTCATTTTTACATTAATCCCTTGGGTTCCACTGGGTCTCCAAGTCTTGGCAGCCAGAATGCCTAACTGGCATCACTTCCCCAGTTATGGTGTGTAAATCTTGAGCCAGAATTCTGGCCTGTTACCAGATGCTCCCTGGCCCATAAACAGAGCAGCTCTCTAGAAAATTCTCAGTCCTCTGGGCGATGACATCTTGGATTTAATCTGAGATCCCTGTAGACTCTGTAGCCTTCAACTGTGACACTTTAGGGTTTGATGTAGCTCATAGGAACCAGACAGAAGACAGACATAATGCCCGTATTTTATCATTGATAGGACAGGTGGAAAGGGATTGGAACACATAATTAGTAATACACTGTCTATGGTTTCAAAATGTTTAGATTTTAAAAGATTGGCAGGTTGAACATGGCAATTATTCTTTTTCAGTTTGTGGGGAAGGGCCATGTCTGTTTGGCTTCTGTTGACTCTGAACCATTAAAATATGTTAGACACTTTTTCCTCCAGGGTATTTCACCATGTATTTTCTATTTTTGAAATTTTTATAGGTAATATGTGAGGTGTTCTTCTCAGCTTCAGAAAATGAGGATCAAACCTCAACATCTTCCACCGAAACCGGACCAAAGGCCCTTTGTGATGGCCAGATGAATTCCCAGTATCCTCTGGAAGAAGCAGGCGGTCAAGCTAATGCAGACAGTCCTAAGGTGTGGAGTGTGTGTATCTGCTTCTGGGTTACCTACTATGTTGGTGGTTCCTTGTGCATCATGACATCACGTGAGCTACATGTAACTAGTTAAAACTTTTAAGTGAAGTCATTGGGACTAATGGGACAGTGATAGAAATTCTGGAGCCCTTCCAAACGTCTCCACACTTTTTGCAACATCTCCAGAACATCAGGAGACCTGATATTATTTCATCTCAGAGCAAAGAAAGCAGAGATTGGTCTGAATGTATGATATATAATTTATACATTGATGCATATGCTACAGGTGTGAAGATTGCTCCTCTCAGAAAGAAGTTATCCTGTGCTTTACCATGAAAGGTGTAAAGCATTTCTGATTAGCCAATGGAAAAAGCCAATCATGTGAAGAGCTCAGGCCCCCTTTTCTTCCTCAGAGATCTATTTTGTGCATTGTAGAGACTAGAGGTAAACACTGGGTGCCCAGTAAGCACTTTACCTGCTGCTGAGCCATCTCTACAGTGTCTTTCCTAAGATTTCTAAGAAGGCTAGTATGTGGTTTGGTTTGGTTTGGTTTGGTTTGGTTTGGTTTGGTTTGGTTTGGTTTGGTTTGGTTTGGATTGATTTGATTTGATTTGATTTGATTTGATTTTGTTTCCTTGTGTCCCATGCGTGGTTCTTGAATATTGAGGGCTCTCTTTTTATACTTAAACAGACACCATCTGAGAAGTTGGATATACCCGCAGATGCCAATTCTTCGGTTTTATATTTTATTCTGGGCCTCCACTGTGAAGAGGATAAAAAGGCACTGGAAGGCATCATCCCAGTGGCACCAAGCAGCACCTTGAAGAGGCAGCTTCCCAGTGATGCAGAAGACGACGAGCTTGGTGTGAATACCCCTGAGAAGATTCCCAAGAAAGGTTAGCAAGCCGCTTCTTGCCACTGTGTTCTGAAAACAAAGGGATAGAGTATTAGATTTTAAAAGCATCTTCACACAAGTAAAATTTATAAGGAAATGAGTATACCAGCTCATTTTCTAGAGCTAATTGTGCAAGGACTTTATATTGATGAGCACTTAGATGAAATTTCAATTGTCCTGAATATGTACCAGATTGATCAATTCTTTTTTTATATTTGCTGGACAATATACAAACAAACATACATACATACATAGTACATGCATACACACACACATATATGTATATATATATGTATGTGTATACATATATATGTGTGTATGTGTGTGTGTGCTAACACTGTTGTTGACATATTTTATCCTGAAGAAATAAATTCATTGTATGGTGTCTCTCAGAAGTTCAGATGTTAGTTATAATGTTTGAAACTTTTTCAGATGCAGATTCCTCACCTCAGAGGAATTCGAACTCTCTAGAAGAAGAGCCAGAGTTCACAATTGATGCAACTGACTTTGAGTGTGCGCTGTGCATGAGGTAGGCTGGTATAGAACATGTGTAGCTCCTTAAAAATAGTAAGGCATTCTGAATTCTATGACTATGTGAAAGGTACCACTGGTGAACACACACACACAAACACACACACATTTCCTAAAATGTGTGTGTGTTTGTGTGTGTGTGTGTGTGTGTGTGTTTCTTAATTTGAGTTACTATGCTGTGATAAAACATGATGACAGAAATCAAGTTGGGGAAGAAAGGGTTTATTCAGCATACACTACCAGATCATAGTCTGTCACTGGAGGAAGTTGCATCAGGAACTCACAAAGGGAAGGAACCTGGAGGTAGGAGCTGATGCAGAGGCCATGGAGGGGTGCTGCTTACTAGCTTGCTCTCCATGGCTTACTCAGTTTGCTTTTTATAGAACCCAAGGGTGGTACCACCCACAATGGGCTGGCCCCTGCCACATAAATCACTAATTAAGAAAATACTCTCCAGCCTTGCCTACAATCTTAATGGGGGCATCTTCTCATTTGGTGTTTCCTTCTCTCAAATGAATCTAGTTGTGTCACATTTAACATAATATTAGCACAATATGTATCAGCAATTATTGATTTATTTTCTAAAAATCCAATGAGGATGTTAAGAAGAAGTGGATATGAATGACTCCTGGGCTTGTATGGAAACTACATAAGGCATCCTTTTGAAATGAGTAGCTTTCTTGAAAGTCTCTTCTGGACATATCTTTCTGAAACCTCATGTTCTTCTTTCCAGGCTGCTCTTTGAACCTGTCACTACACCCTGCGGACATACATTTTGTCTCAAATGCCTTGAGCGCTGCCTGGACCATGCCCCTCACTGCCCACTGTGCAAAGACAAGCTTTCAGAGGTGAGTGGTTCACAATATGAAGCCTCTTCTTGTGCTTTGTCAGGGATGTCATGCTTTCCTTCCACCACCTACTACTAAAATCAGATTTATTTGATCGAAGATGGGCCATTTCCCACTTCTTTCATAAATCAAAACACATAAAGAAGCATTAGATGCAGAAGTAGCTAAGTATTAAAGCAATTTCTGGGTATAAATCATTGAGTTAGATTCAAAACAGGAGAATATATATGTGGAGTATACATTCACTTCAGATGGTTTGATACATTACAGGACATTTAGTTTATGTCTAGGTTGTGTTCCTTACTACTACCAAGTCTCCTTTATGCCCTTTCCAGTTAGTTGCTACTGTCTTTGGTTTGAAACCAAATCCAGTAAAATGTAGGGTATATAGGGAAGCTATTTGTTGCTCTTTATCTCAAATGTAAACATTTGCATTGATTATGCAGATAAGATAGAGGAAATGGATAGTGGATAGCATTGCAGAGCTGTGTGCTCTGTGCTGTGTCCTGGTTCCTTTGTTCTCAGTCACTTTCCACGAGACAAATTCTTTAGCCTCTTGGAGGGGTAAGGACTTCCCTCATATCCTCAAGTTGAGACTGATAATCTTTGTTTTAATTATATTCCAGAAATATGCAACCTACAATCTCTGGAGTAATGTGGTTTTCTCCTTTCCTTTCTCTCCCTCTTGCACACACTAAACACACACACCAAGATACTCCTAAGCCTAAATTAACTTTTAAAAAAAATCTGACATGGCAAGAGAGGGTGTTAAAATGAGGGAAAGCTTAAAATAATTGTAACTTTTTAATTCATTGCTAAAACATGTTCAAATAAGTCATCACCATGGAGACCTGTTTATAATGAGTACATGCTTGTGTTACTGAGTTACAGCACACATGCTTGTGTTACTAAGTTGTAACATACATGCTTGTGTTACTAAGTTGTAGCACACATGCTTGTGTTACTAAGTTGTAGCATACATGCTTGTGTTACTAAGTTGTATCATACATACTTGTGTTACTAAGTTGTATCATGCATGCTTGTGTTACTAAGTTGTAGCACATACATGCTTGTGTTACTAAGTTGTAGCACACATGCTTGTGCTACTAAGTTGTATCATACATGCTTGTGTTACTAAGTTGCAGCACACATGCTTATGTTATTAAGTTGCATGGTAGTATACTTGCTTGTGTTACTAAGTTGTAGCACACATGCTTGTGTTACTAAGTTGTATCATACATGCTGTGTTACTAAGTTGCAGCATACATGCTTATGTTACTAAGTTGCAGCATACATGCTTGTGTTATTAAGTTGCATGGTAGTGTATTGCTTGTGTTACTAAGTTGCAAGACACATTCATTCTTAAATCACATACACATTGCCCCTTTCTGAACTTTCCAGAGGTCACAGGATGGTTATCAGTATTGTGTTATGCACACGTGCGATGACCGTAGACAAGTTCTGAGCATGTGCAGTGGTTCATTAGGAAGTGTCTCTATGGTCTTCCCCAAGCTATTATCATCCCTTGCTGAGAGGCACATCTGTCCTGCTCCCTTATACATTCCTGTTCCCAGGGTCTGGGGGCCTAGAGATGGCTCCCTTATGCCTGCCTATGAAACAAAAGGCTTGCCCCAAGACCATTCATAACACAGGCATTTTACTACTTTTTCTTTTATCTTATGTGGTATCTGTGAAGAAGAAAGCCTGGCACATGCATGGTGAATGTGGATGAAAATATCACAATAATACCCATGGCTCTGTGTGCTAACCAAAATATCTATCAAGACTTTCTTTTCTCTTCTTATCTTTTCCTTTCTTTTCTTGTTGGTTGTTGTTGTTGTTGTCGTTGTCATCATTGTTGTTGTTGAAACAGGTTTCTCTATGTAGTCCTGACTGTCATAGGATTCACTCTGTAGACCAGGCTGACCTCACACTCAGAAATCCACCTGCGTCTGCCTCCCAGATTCTGGCATTCACCATTACTACTAGGTATAGTAAAGTTTTTCAAAGAGAAAAAAGAAACATCCTGGAGGTCTGCTAACTATAAGCCCCTTAAGGACAAAGACGTCCAGACTCCAGTTTTTATTGGATTGCCAAGAGCCCTAGTGACCCAAACAGAAAATGCCAGACACCCTTTCTCTCATGTACAGCATAAATCCTGCAGGCCACACACAGGGCTAAGCTTTGTCTTTCAGGAAGAACTAACATTTACCATCATTTAACATATCTTTTCTGTTATAGTTGTTGGCAACCAGAAATTTTAATGTAACTGTTCTGACTGAAGAACTGATATTCCGATACTTATCTGATGAGTTATCTGACAGAAAGAGGGTCTATGATGAAGAGATGTCAGAACTGTCCAAGTAAGTGCTACATCACATGAACTTGGCCCTTGGTGCAGAATATTCAGGGAAATCTTTGTTGATATGAGCCAAGCCTTAGATTTTGTTTTTATTTTTTTCATAACAGAATTCTTGGTCTTTGAATGAAAAAAATTTTAGTTGCAAAATATCTGTGGAAATTTAATTATAAGTAATTATAAGAAATATTCAAAATATATTTTTGGAAAGTTATAAATCTGTTTTCTGTATCTAAATAACTTGCTGAATGGAAAGACAAAAGTCTGGATAGCAAGCAGGATTCTGACTCATGATTTCCTCTCTCCACCCAGTTAAAGTTTGGTGTTTCCGTACAAACCTGGCCGATCCTTCATTCTTGCCTTTGTCTACCATGTGGTTTTTTCTTTGTGAAGTATTTTTAAGGGTGATTCAGCTATAACCTTTACAAGTACAGTAACATAACTCAGGATGCTATCTCTCATCAAATTAAATATGGCAGACTTGGCTAAAACCTGGCTGAGTGGAGACCTTGCTCATGCCAGGCTCCTTGGCAGTCCTTGCTCGCTCAGCCCTGAGTCAGGCTCACATTTTGTTTGGTTGGCAGCTTTGGGTGTTGTAGCAACTTCTCACTTCTGCTCCGAACAGCTTACACTTCTAAGTCAACATTTTCTCTCACTCTGCAGTCTGACCAGAGACGTGCCCATCTTTGTGTGTGCTATGGCCTTCCCTACGGTTCCCTGCCCTCTCCATGTGTTCGAGCCCCGCTACCGGCTCATGATAAGGAGATGCATGGAGACTGGCACCAAGCGATTTGGCATGTGTTTATCTGCCGAGAATGCAGGGTAAGGAACAGCTTCTCAAGGGTCCTAATAAAGTTCTCTTTTTCTTGAAGAACAACTGTGCTTGGAAACCGCCCCCCCCCCCCGCTTTCTTTCCACCAATTACTTTCACACAGTATAATTTCAAGGCTAGCCAAAATGCCACCCCGACTTTTCTAGTTTCATCTCTGCCTTTCCATTCACCCATTTATCACATTCATGAGTGCCCCTCTGTGTCACCACCCCCACCACCCTCTGCTTGCAGTTCTCTGCATGCCCATCTATGCACAGAGCTCTGGTCTAGAAGAAAAACCGCTTACACCATCAGTGAAACTTTGCTCAATCTCCACAGCGGTAGCATTGTCAATCTTATGCAAACTGTGCCATGTGATGTCACCTCTTGTTGCTCCACTTCAGTTGCCTGGAGAGGATGCTTCCAGGCAGCAGGTGGCTGGGGCCTGCCTTGGAGACTTGAATCCCTTCCTGTCCTAAAAGAGGCCTTATCAATGCTACATAGGCAAGGCCATGATGGGTTAATATATGCAAGGGCCAGCTGGCAGTGCATATGCTTCTAGAGGACTCTGGAGGGGAAAAAAGCTACCTCCTTTATGCTGACACCTGCTGCAAGGGAAGCTGGGAAGTGTAGCCTGTTCATGTGCCCAGGAAGAAGAAGAGAATATATTATAAAGTCTACTCAATAATTTCTACCATGAATACCCAGAGACAAATAATTTTTAAGAGAATATACATGTATGAAGAAAATCCTAAGACTACTGATTGGCATCCATGAAGCTGTGTCTGAAAGGTCATGTTAATGGAGATTAAGACATGGTCCCACAGAAAGGTCATTTCAATCCAACTAATTCATCGTGGTGACATCCCAAGAGGAGTTTGTTTGCCCATTTCAGGATCAGTGTGGCAGGGAAAAGGACCAGACAGTTTTGAATAAATCAAATGACCAGAAGGAAGGACCCTCCTACAATATCAGAATCATAAGCAATAGTCAGCAGACTTGTGAAAGAACATGGAGGTCAGAATTTATCTGCTCCAATATGAACTCCAAATGTATGTATAATTGCATGGAAGAGAGAGACTATCTGTAACAGAGCTTATTAGGAGTCAGGAGTAGTCTACACAGGACAACCAATGTCTCTTTCCTACTTTTTAGTATGTATGTTTTAAATAGATTATTGTTATGAAACCAAAAACATCAGAAAATGTTTTTTAAAAATTAAGAGAAAGTGTAAGAGATTATTTTCAGAATTAGGAGCAGGCGAAGATTTTGTTTATATAAGATACTGAGTGTGCACAGTAGCGTGCAAGGGATTAGTAAATCAGCATGTGTTACCATTCCTCTCATCAGAAGTCAGTAAAAGCAGGGTGACAAAAGCTCTATCAGATTCATTGAGAGAGTGAACACTGGGAGCAAGAAGAAACCCCCGGATTCATGATGAGCTGTGGTCCTCAAACACAGTCAGAGAGCCGAGGGCACTCAGGCCCCTCTAGGAAAGGGTGAGAAGGGAGCCAGGGAGATAAGAGTGTGTTTGAATTCTGCTAGTTTTTAAAGGCACATTGATGGCCCTTTGTGGATCAGTGTGGAACCACATATGCTAGGAGCTGCAGGCAAGAGAAGTTTGTGCCACTCATGGGTTCTTGCCCGCAGACAGGATAGGATGCTCCTGGATGGGATGGGCTCTGCAGCTGAGGCAGACAGGGAGAACTGACATTCGGAGGTTGTTTGTGGATAGCTAGGAAAACACAAGACCTCTTCAGGGTGCTTCCAGGTCCACTGCAGGTAGGAGTGAGGTAGTTCTATGGGGTAACCAGAAAGAGAACGGTTTTATTAGATTTAAAATTGTTTTGTGGCCGGGCAGTGGTGGCACATGCCTTTAATCCCAGCACTTGGGAGGCAGAGGCAGGCAGATTTCTGAGTTCGAGGCTAGCCTGGTCTCTACAGAGTGAGTTCTAGGACAGCCAGAGCTACACAGAGAAACCCTGTCTCAAAAAATGAAACAAAACAAAACAAAAAACCATAAAATTGCTTTGTGACTTGAGAATCCAGATTCATCTTTAGTTTGGAGATACATAGTATAGTTGCTCATGCTAAGAATGTAGGAAGCAGGCATCTTAGGGTTCAAATCTTGCTTTTAAATCTTACTGTAATCTTAAGCCTCCATGTTCTGTGAGCTTGAACAAGTTCATACACTATACTGCTGTGTGTACCACCATGACATGCTGTGCAACGTACATCAGGATGGTATGTGTACTATCACTGACACACTGATAGGCGTTTTAGTAACAAGCATGGATAAGCGTTCCAGAGAAGGCGTCACAGTGAGCATAGATGCAGCTAAGGATGTCATCCTGCCTAGCCCAGCATATGAGAAGAGCAGAAGATGTTAGGTCAGTGGCAGGGTGTGCTCACTGAAAATGGCCACCTGGGACCTATCTGTGGCCTCTGGTGGGATCATGTGTGGGATGGTGGGGTAGAAAGGGGAGGCAGAGAGACCCAGGCAGCCACTATAAACTGCCTGTCTCAGGACTTGGCATGAGACAATGCAGGTGAATGTGGGGGATCCTCTGGAGGCAGGAAACAGTCCTGTGCTTACAGATGCCACTCAGATACTCTGCTAACAGGGCCTGGCCAAGCTGGTGCAGTACCACATTTAAGATTAGGTCTCATCTCATTTCTCTGGTTCATCTGGAATTCTAGCCCACCAAGCCACCATCTTCAGCGTACTCAACAGAAGGACATGTTATCTCTTGGGAGAATAATCTTGCTGCTCTGGTGCAGAGAACTCCGTTTGTTCACACCGACTTTACACTCTTCTTAAAAGACAGACTTTAGGGGAAAACGGAGGCATCTAAATTTTAAAAACCATTGTCTCTTCCCAAACTCTCTTTCAGGATTTCAGAGTATGGCTGCATGTTGGAGATAAAGGATGTCAGGACTTTCCCTGACGGAAGCTCTGTCGTGGATGCAGTTGGGATTAGCCGCTTCAGAGTCCTAAGCCACCGCCACCGAGACGGTTACAACACAGCGGACATTGAGTACCTGGAGGACGAGAAGGTGAGGATGGTCAGCATCTCTCACCCCGCATTCCTCTCCATTGTGGAACCCATCACTGGGCTTCTGCTCACAGGGCTGTATCCTCCTTACCCAGCGCATGACCTGTTACTCTGTGCATTCTTACCTGAGTTAGAGTCAGGAGAGAAGTCTCCTAAAATACAATGCTCTTTTACTTCCTTTAGGGAACATAGGCTTGTTCTCTGACCTGAGGACTGGTCTATAAAGGCTGGATACTTCCCAGCTGGCATTCTGTCTCTGGTTTCTTCATCCATAGAGTCAATTGATGGTGCACTAAAAGCACTGCAAAATAAATTATGCCTCTAGAGAAAACGTGTAGGCATGTTTGCGTTTTCACTCTTCCCTAAACAACATGGCTTAGCTGTGAGTAGCATACATCTGTAGCCCTGGGTTCTCTAGATTGCAGAAGAAGGGATGATTGAGCCCACATTTGAGGCCGGCTTGGGCAACTTATCTTGATAGTATCTCTAAAGCAAAACAGTAGATCGTAGCAACTTTCTATTAGGTCAAGTAATCTATAGATTATTCGAGGTATAAGAGGCATGGGTATGTGTTCACTATATGCAAATAGTAAATCATTGTATATGCAGTTGGCTATCTATGGGATCATCTCCATAGATACCAAGGAATGATGGTGCTTTAGACCCTGAAGGTCACATGATTTCTCCTATAACTACTAGTCTCTGTTCTTAAGATTAAAGGGCAGCAGTAGACGATACAGAAATGGGTCTGCTAGACTGGTTTTCAATACAAAGTTATTTATAAAAACATGGTGGAAGTTGCTAGAGAGATGGTTCTGTGGTTAAGAGCACTGGTTTCTCTTCCACATGGTTGCTCATATTGTCCTGTATCTCAGGTTCGAAGAAATCAGATACCTCTTCTGGACTCCCCAGAAATGCACTACATGCATGTAGTGAACACACATGCCTGTAAACAAAACACCCATACACATAAAATAAAGAATTGGGAAAAATACTTAAAAACATGGCCAGCATTTGAGTTCGAAGCAGTGATTCTCTGTGTGGCTCAGAGTGAGGCATATCATAAAATAGTAGTGCTTAAAAGTGCCTCCCAAAGCTAGTATAAAAACCTCCTACCTCTTGAGAATTATTTTTATATAATAGAATCGTCGGCACACATCTTTTGACAAATAAGGTATTTTGAACAGATCTTCATAAAGATGTACAGAGATGTACACACTGCCTCAGCAGTACCCGAAAGCGGAAATGGTCTAGACATCCCTCAGGTAGATGGATAAGCTAGACCAGCTCCTCATACAGTGGAGACTTACAACAAAACATAACGAACTGGTGTTCTAACATTGTGAATCTCACAGACATGCTGAGAGAGAGTTAGGCACATGAGCAGGCAGACTGAATGTTTACTGTACACAGACAGCAGGCCAAGTGTCATCTCTTCTATACTTCCAGAAACAGGAAAAAGCATGGTGATAGACTATATATCATGGGCTTTGTATCTGACTGGGACAGTGTCTTAGTGAGGGTTTTACTGCTGTGAACAGACACCATGACCAAGGCATCTCTTATAAGGACATTTAATTGGGGCTGGCTTATAGGTTCAGAGGTTCAATCCATTATCATCAAGGTGGGAGCATGGCAGCATCCAGGTAAGTATGGTGTAGGAGGAGCTGAGAGTTCTACATCTTCATCCGCAGGCAGATAGGAGAAGACTAGCTCCCAGGCAGCTAGGAGGAGGGTCTTAAAGCCCATACCCACAATGACATACTTCTTCCAACAAGGCCACACCTCCTAACAGTGGCACTCCCTGGGCTAAGCATATTCAAACACTACAGTGTTTAAGGAGTCTTCTCTATCTGGTTTAATGTGATGGCATAATGGTTACCCTGCCTTGTACAGTGGACAGAATTCTTTGAGTCTGACAAGATCTGTGTGGGGGACTTTTTGTATATAACTTATGTAGTTAAAAATAATTAGTAGGAGAAAATTCATTGAATTATTGTATCCCTCTTTTATATTTTTGGTAGACATCTGAAATATAGATGTAAAAGTATGTACCCTCTCGCATCACACTGGATGCCACACTGGAGATGTGGACATGTGTTCATTTAAGTGGAATCACACCCAGAATGGAGGCTCTGGCACTCCAGCTGCTGCTTCTGGTGCCTGTGGCCCTGAGAGCCTTAAATACCAAGGGGACCTCAGGGACCCCAACTCCAGGGCTTCTGGACCATGGGCCTGGCTGCAAAGATGTGGAAGTTCTTGTACTCATTTTACAGACAGATCCAATAAAGTATTATTCATATTATTATGGATGATGCCTTATTTTTAATGGTGTATGGATTTACTTCAAAACAGGCTTTAAAAGCTGCTCGTGAAGTAATTTTTAAAAGAAATTCCTATTGCATATGAATATTGCTCTGCATAAGGCACACCAATGACAGTTCTTTCAGTTTGTTACAATTCCTGTGGGTTTTGTAGCTACTAGAATGTTCTACCCAGAAAAGACCTGGATGGTTTATTCCCCTTTACATGACTGTGATCCTGGCTGACATGCACACATGAGAGCCAGCAATGAAGAAGCCAAGACAGGACCAACCTCCAGTCTCGTGTTCCTCCTGCTCTTCCAGGCTGTCCTAAGCAGACCGAGGGAGAGCTAAATGATTAGGTGGACAGTGAGGAGAACCAGAAGCCAGGCGTGCACATAGCAGCGTGGCAGGGTGATAGCTGATGTGGGGGGCTGCAGTTTTGCTCTAGCAAGTCTTCTGGAGTGTGATATGGTGATAGGAAAACAGTTAGTAAAATGCCAGAGTCTGGCTTCTTGTTCTGCTCCTGGGAAACTATCCGGAGAAAACGATACCTGACAAAATACTTCTTGTCTATATTTATTTATTTGTTATTTCATGTGTGGATGTGCACACACATACCACATACCACACACCACAGTATGCATGTGGAGGTCAAAGCACAACTTGCAAGAGTCTGGGCTTTCCTTTCACCATGTGTGTTCTGAGGTCATCAGTCTTACTGTTTCACATTTTTACTGAGCCATCTTGCTGGTTCCTTTGCATACATATTTATATTACTGACATTTTAAAAATAAAATGTCAGGATATTAAAATACATCTTATGTATATGACTAAATCATTTATGATATATCAAATACACATTTTTCACCAGTTGAAAATTGTAACATTGGATATGTGCTTATGTTAGTCTTAAGAGAAAAATCAGAATGCTATCAGTAGATCTCAGGTATATTAAAAAGCACACACTTTCTATATGAATCGTGTCATTTTGTGCAACAGTAGTGGATTAGTGAAGGAATAAGTGTCACAAGTCCACTTAGCTGTCAGAGGTCACCAACATGCGGATGATTTACTAAAATGTCCATCTCTTTTCTCTGGCCAGGTGGAAGGTGCAGAGTTTGAAGAACTTACCGCCCTCCACGAGTCTGTTTACCAGCAGTCTGTTTCCTGGTTTGCCTCACTCCAGGATCACATGAAGAAACAAATTCTAAGCCATTTTGGGTCAATGCCAGAAAGGGAACCAGAGCCACAGGTAGGCTTGTCTTCCTTCTCTCATGGTGCGGCTACTTCCTGCAGTCACGTGTCAGAAAATTCAGCAGTGCTGTACTCCATCACGAGGATGAGCTGATTCATGTAATCCCTGCTCAAAGGAGACCTAGGACGGCAGCCTGTGTCTTATGCAGCACAATAAATAGATGTTTTCTAGCCATGTATAAAGATCAAAACAGGGATCCTGCTCCCTGCAGTGGGCTGGGTCCAATTGCATCAGTTAACAATCAAGGCAGTCATTTGTAGACATGGCCAATCTGAATCAGGTAATCCCTCAACTAAGACTTCTACAGATGAGAGTAGGCTCTGTCATTGTGACAGCTGGAGCTAGCCAGGACAGTTGCTACCTTGCATTTTACTTTAAAAACAATCAGTAAATAAATGTTGGCTTTGGATCAGGACAGGATTTCCAGCATTTTCTGAAATGGCCCTCAACGCCCTATATTTATATGAAAGTGGCATTCTCGACATTGATAGTTATATAAATTCAGAATATCATTTGGTTCTGAAAAACATTGAAGATGTTCTGTGTCCTGCAGTGTCATATACTCAAGATTTATTCTCTTATGTAAAAAATAAACAATCACATCTATCTAGTGTCATATTTACTTTAATCTTTAGTAAATGATACAAATATATATATATATATATATATATATATATATATATATATATATATGACTGGTTTAAGAATCCATGTACTCATGACTTATTATCAGTAAATGTTTAATCTGTATAGGTAGATGCAAGGTACCTCTGTGCTCAGAGTTGTAAAATTCTTAGTTTAAAAATATCATGAATGTAAGCTGTTTAGGAGCCCTGCTTTAGACTCTAAAATCATGCCCAAGTCCTCTCCCTCTTTACCACTCCCTTTTGCCACTGTGCTGTCCCTCAGATTCAAAAGGATGATAATAAGACAAATCAATTAAATTAATCTCTAATTGGAGGGTGAACTGCTTCCTGTCACTGCTGCAACACATTGCCACTAACATGGTGGCTTTGGCAATACTGGTATATTATCTTACAGTGGTACTGTTAGAAGCCTGGCAGGCAGGTGTCTCAAGTGACATAGCAATGACATCGCCCTCTGCTGGTTATAGGAGAGACTCAGCTCCTGGCATTGTCCACCTCTGAGGATGCTCAGAGGCATTGTTTATCCCACAGTGTTCCAGTTCTAGCCTTTCTTCTGTGTCACACATCTCCCTCTGGCCACAGCCCCAGGACCATGTGGCTACATTGGTCCACTAGGATAATCTCCCTGTTGTAATAACATGTTCTCATCTTCAAAGTCCTCCATTACTACATACAGCAGCATAGTCACAGGACTAAGGAATTAGACCCTGAGATCCTTGGAGACTGTTATTCTGCCAATTAGAAGGATTCTAATTAGTGAGGTACAACTAAGCATGCTGTTCTCCCTATCCTGTGGGATAAGGGAAGAGGAGTTTCAGTTCTGTCATATTTCTTCAGTGTCTGGGTTACAGGTAACCTCTGAAGGACACCCCAGGATCTTCTTGGCAGTGACTTGAGATGCCCCTTTGAGCTTTGGCTAATGAGTTGTTTCTGACCTCCAGAGAAATTATACAACTTGTAAAAGCCACAAAATCCATTCTTCCTAGCTCCTGGTTGGCACGTCATTAAAAGGACTAGAGGAGAATCCAAACTTTGTAAGCAGGCAGGCTTAGTTATCTTCGTTCCAGAATGAGGAAGAACAGAAACAGGTTGAGAATCACTGTTTGCTTACAGCTCAATCCAGAATGCTTGTTTGATTATGTGAAATAAAGGCAAACATGTATCCACATTGCACCCAAACAATACTTACATACATTGTCTGTACATGTGTGAATTCACAATAGTTATCATATACTGTACTGTGTGCATATGTGTGTTATACACACTTTGCCACATTGGCTGTAGGATCAACTTCCTTGTGGCACTCAAACTCATTTTTGACCTTGATAACATTACACTTTAGCTAACTCACTTAGAGCTTAAAATGCAATAGCATACATTGTTACCTGGCAGTAAAATGTATCATCTTTCTTTCTGGTGGATATATACATGGTTACCTGGAGGCTTGGGAGAGCAGAGGCAGCTAATTCATGGAGTTACCCTGAGGAAAGAGATTCTCTTGACAAGTTCTTCCTTTGTGTCCTTGCCTTGCACCTTAAAATGTGTGACTCTCATTCAACAAGAACTCTGCATTTTGAGGGCATAATGAATCATGACCTAGCCCTACAACAGAAGGTGGGATTCTTGCCCGTATTTGTTGGTTAAGCAAAAGACTGAATTAGAGAATGGCCTGTGTTATAGATATTAATTTATTTCTCCCCTTGTGTCTTTCACAGAGCAATTCTAGTGGCCCTGCCTGGTCTTGGTGGATTCTGGCCGTGTTGCCCTTGGAACGAAAAGCTCAGCTGGCCATTCTTGGCATGGCCTCTTTGAAAGAGCGTCTTCTTGCCATTCGACGTATATTAGTCATCATCACACGTAAGCTGAATAGTCGCCAAGAGATGGCTAACAACACACAGAGAGATAATTGATTTTCCTCTAGATTAAGGTTGCCAGAAGCCCCTGTGTTTTTGAGTTCCAGACACTGACAAATACTCGTCCTCTTTGGCGTGCTTTGTAAAATCTTGTCATTGTGGTGGTAAGTGGGACATTTGCCAAATACTGATTTTCTCACACATAAGAACTCTACCTGTTGGACTTGGACACTGTGCAAGATTCGCCTGAAGTTCAAGTGGAAGGTACAGGTGAGAAGTCCTTGAGAATCTCTTCAAAGCAGATGCTTCAAGACTACCGCTCACCACTACCAGCATGGGACATACACACTACACAGCATGGTCACATGGCATGTGACTCCAGTGTCAAAGGCGATTACCCTCCTAGCCAGTGTCTTGACATGATAGGTGGAAAATGTGCGTGCCAGTGGCTAGACAGTGAGTGGGAACAGACCTATTAGGATGTAAGCAAGCCAAAACTCGACTTGGGTTCTGTATGTTGTTGTGAACTTGTTTGCAAAATTAATGAACTGAATCGATATCCAGTCCTTACTGAGACGTAGTAATTGCCGGGCAGAGCCCTGGTTGTGTTTCGTGTCCTGCTGTAACCCCAGGTGTTGTAAATTGCATGTTGTAATTAAATGAATGTAAAACTACAAGAAGATGTATCTTACGTATAGAAAAGTCTGAGGATTGCCAGTATTTTGAGAGTATATATTCATAGACACTCCAGAAGGGTAGTCAGAAATGAGTTAGAGCTGCGTGTCCATTGGGATGTCAGACATACAGCCAAACACATTCTAAACAAAGTTCTATCTATCTTCATTCACCTGGGAATTTACTATCAGATAGTGATAGGTGTAACTCCCGACCTCCAGTGCATGTTGGGAATGTATATCACTGGGAATAACCCAGACATTCCCGCCACCTGAGCAGCTGGTGCAGACAGCCCGCTGCTTAGTGTGTGAGATGAGCATCCAGACTGACAAGACCCTGCTGAGCAAATCTCAGCAGTATGCTCTGCTTTCTCCATTCAAGGTGTGTGGGTTTAATTTAAATGTATATTGTATGGTACAAAATCTTGATGACTTATCAACCCATCAGGCATTTTATGAGAAAGCCGTATGATCACAGTGATGTTGATTTTATTGTTCTTTTCAGTAACTGAAACTCAGCTTCGCCATGGGACTTAGAATAAAACACCCATCTCATTTACTGTGAATCTTAGATGTCACCCTTAAGAGGGGCTAAGAGCTCTTTTGAGCAAGCCATTCCACACATTAAGAGTTCAGCTCTATTTGGCATTTATGACATTGTCTGACCACTTAAAACTATAACTCTTGGGGCAGAAATCCTTTACTAGGATTTGCTCATGACAATGAACGAGTTTTGATTTATTTTTTCTTTTTGGGGAAAAAAAAGTAGGAATTGGTATTGTCACAGTTTCTGTTTGGGAGTGTCTATCCAGTGTGACCGTAGCTTCTCAGGACTCTTCCAGGAGTTAAGTGTCTGTGCTGAGTTAGTGTTGGGAAGGTTTTGCTTCTACCTGCTGACGTGTTAGCTCTTATAACTTACCGAGTTCAGAACTATTATGCTGTTCTTCCTGGATCTGGGCACCTCTTTATTCCTCTCATCTTCAATGTTCTTATGTGAAAGTCCCCATGACATTGATGCAAAGGAGAACAACAGAAGTTTTGGGGATTCAGTGCCAAAGAGAATGTGGCATGATTGTCACATGCTCTGTTATACATTGCACTGTACAGTAGCAGACCAGAACTCACTTGTGCTTTTAGGGGAGTCTGGTTATTGGACAATTTCAGTAGCACAAAAGTCAAAGTGCCACCATTGCCTCCAACCAAGGTGGGGTCATTCTGTCTGAACTGACCTGTGTGTCAATTTATAAACTACAGTGAACAATGAATGTCTTTGAGAGAGAAGTTTACTGTTCCGGACAAACAAAAGGCTCATTGCTATAGGGTCTGTGAGAAGCAGTCCAGTCAGGCTAGGTGTGGAAGTGATTCTCAAGTTCTGTTGTACAGGCTTCAGTTTTAACAAAGATAGATTGTAATAGCATCAGGCAGCAGAAGAGACCTGACTACCCACCAAGCCCTTTCTTGATGGGGATCATACTAGATGTGTGGAACCCTGTTTCCAGAGTTACAGACACTTCCAACGCTCCTGTGCTAGCTGAGGAGCTGTGTAAAAAGCCTCCCGGTTCATTGTCATCCCTGTAGCAAACTGGAGCAAGCTCTTTGGCCTGAGCCAACTACGGATTTAGAGTTCCTCTCTCCGTGCCTCCCACTAGGTTGCAGCAGCTCCTTCTGAACAAGAGGTACATACTCCAGGAAGAAAGAAACTCTGTAAGTCAGCAGACCAGGTCAGCAGACCCCAAGTGGTCACACCCCGACCTTTCCCAACAGTGATTATGAGTAGCAGGATTTAGTACATTTTGGTAGTTTAAAAGGAGACAAAGGATTTCCAAAGATGCTGTGTTTGCCTGGAATGCAGTAGACAGGTTTTCCACAGACTGTAGAGCATACAAGGAAAGCCCATTTCCTAAATCTGATGCAGAAGAGGCCCATACCAGTTTGGTAGTAACCTCTGTGGCTGCTCTAATGAGGACATCCCTTAACTACCTATCAAGGGCAAGTGCACAGTGCACAGTGGTCCTCTGCTCTCTACTCACTTACTGCCTAAAGTCTCCTGTTTCCTGATGGTTATGCCCAGTGTAATTTGGAAGTAGAATAGCTGGGGTTGGTTACAAGGTCAGCTTCATCTGGCCCAAAGCTGCTCAACCCTGCTGTCAAGGCCAAGGTTCATAGTGAGTTCCTGCAAGAGCAGGGATGTTAAAGGACTTGAACCTCTCATAGCCCATGAAATCCAAAAGGACACTTACCTTTTGTTATAGGCCAGAGAAAACTCAAATAGTTTTTAATTCTCTCGGGTAAGACAGGAATTCCTTCCACCATCACACTGCCCCTCGTTGGTGGTTGTTTTGTTTTGTTTTTTTCCAACACTGATGCTTTTCCATCAGAACCTATTGGTGTTCTTTAAATCACTCAGTGGTAAACTGAGTCATTTTCAGACTCTTCTTCAGGGGCAGAGCATAGCAACAGAGCAGCTGCACACTGGAATCACAGAGCAGCCTGACCACATGGCAGAGCCTGAGAAGACAAGACACAGCTGGAACAGACCTCTGTACCTTGGTCCAGGTCTGCTGGTGGCTTTTCCAAGTAAAGGCAAAGGGCAATGATTTTTCTCTTTGTGGATGTTTAAATGAGAAACACATTCCCCCTCCCCCACCCCAGATTCTAGTATTTGAACACTTAGTCTGTACTTTGTGCCACTATTTGGCTATTTGGATATTATGGAGCCTTTAGGAGGTGCAGCCTTAATTAGTGATTGATGTGGGAGGGCCCAGCCCATTGTGGGTGGGGCCATTCCTGGGCTGGTGGTCCTGGGTTCTATAAGAAAGTAGCAGCACCCTGCCCTAGCGTCTATAACAGCTCCTGCTTCCAGCTTCCTGCTCTGCTTGAGTTCCTGTCCTGACTTCCTTTGATGATAAACAGTGTAGGCCAAATAAAGCCTTTCCGCCCCACCTTGCTTTTGGTCGTGGTGTTTGATCAAGGTAATAGGAAACTGAGACGCAGCCTCATATATTTTCCTCCTGTTTACTCAAGTACTGAAGCTTGTGCTTGAAAATCTCAGAGAGATTAATGTTGATCATTTTTTCATGTGGGCTGCATGTAGGGAGAAAACATTCTGGTGCAAAGAAAAGAGGATGATGGGCCAGGTGACATAAAGGGGGAAGGTGTCTTCGTGTGCCTGCAGCAAAGGCAGACACCCATGCAGAGGCAGAGAACCTGCAGCAAAGGCAGACACCCATGCAGAGGCAGAGAATCCCTCAGTCTCTGCACCTTCACCTGTGGTTTACTTGTCACCTTTGGTTTAAATAAGAACAGGAAAGCTGGGCAGTGGCACTTGTCTTTAATCCCAGCACTTGGAAGGCAGAGGCAGTCGGGTCTCCGTGAGTTTGAGGCCAGCATGGTCTGGCTTAGGACTGACTCTGTCACTGTAGCTGAGAAAATGTCAGCTTGAGTCCTCTGGAGGAACTACCACCAAGCCCAGCCTTCTGTTTCTAACTCGGCTACTGATTCAGGACCAAGGTCATTTACAAGTAAAGAGCTTGATTGATACCCTTTCAGTCTCCGCAAGAAATAGCCTTGATTCACTTCAGAATGCTCCCTGTGCTTGAGTGAGTCTGTGGTCTGAAACCGGCTCACTCCTCCTTTGTCTACAAGCTGTGTAATGGATTAGCCAGTTCAAGGGAAAAGTTTAAAAGGCATTTGGTGATTTCCCCAGTCCTTGTGGCCCTCCCCTTGGACGAAATGATTTTGGCGAAATGATATTCTTGGAATCTTTTTCATTTCTGTCATCCACACTCAGGTGTTGTCAGGTTAGAGAGTGTCAGAATTCACATTGCAGGTCGGTATCTTGAGTCTTTGCTTTCGTCTGCTTCTGCTGGGATCTCCATTGCGGACAACACTGTTATAGCAATAGAGCTTCCACCCTGTAAAGCTTTTTCCTTGACCAGCTCTCCTTCTGTATGGCTTATACCAGGACACACTATTGTCCACTGAGCTTTGGGAAAAGTGGCTAATAGGTAGGTTGCAAAGCTGCATATTCCTGCCTTATTCACTTAGGATACTTACTACTTGATGTTAGCAACTGATTTAGTACCTGTGAAATGATTGTTACCAGTTGAGCATTGTGAATATTTTTTCTTTATTTAGAACAGGTTTGAACAAGTTAAGTCTCTATCAAATAACATTATGTTTCTTGCCTCTTTAGAGGCCAGTAGTGATATGGAATATCACCCAGCTTCGATTCCCTTTCCTACTTAAGATGTCCGCAAAGATGCAAGTAGCAACATTTGGCATTTGTTGTTTCTTACAGGAGACTGGTTTTTAAATGTTGCAAATGTTTACTTCATTGTATTCTTTCCCTGTCCATTTCTGCTCATTGAAATTGTGTATCTA